ACGGGTCCGAAGACCCTTCACCCATCCCGGACCCCGTTTCCAAAAAATGACTTCCATGCACATCTAAAGAATTCTGAGACATGCCAAGGATATATATATAATATATATATATATATTTCTTTATTTATTTAATCAATAAAGTTGTTTTTTAATGTGTATGTGACACCGTCCTTGGAGGGTACGGTCGGAACCGCCTAGACATTTGCCCGGCCTCTGTCCAAAGGAGCCTCGAAGATGTTCTGCCCAGCCATCCTCAAGGCATGCGGTTCCATTGGGCAAACTGGCAGGTTCCATGGTTTTGATGTTTTCTGTTAGGAGAATATATAACAGATATATATATAATTATATATACATACAAACATACATACATACATACATAGATACAGACAGACATACATACATACATACATAGATACATACATACATACATACATACATACATACATACATACATACATACACATACATACATACATACATACATACATTAAATTACATTATATTACATTACATACATACATACATACATTACATACATTACATACATTACATACATACATACATACATACATACATATACACATACATATACACATACATACATACATACACAAACATACACATACATACACATACATACACATACATACACATACATACACATACATACACATACATACACATACATACACATACATACACATACATACACATACATACACAAACATACACATACATACACATACATACACATACATACACATACATACACATACATACGCATACATACACATACATACACATACATACACATACATATACATACACATACATACACATACATACGCATACATACATATACATATACATATACATACATATACATACATATACATACATTTACATGCATATACATACATATACATACATCCACATACATACATACATACATACATACATACATACATACATACATACATACATACATACATACATACATACATTTATACATACATACATATATGCATATATATATATACATATCTCTCTCTCAAAACCAAAACCACGTGTTTTGCGGTACTCAAATGTTCTACTGATTTGGACTGGGCTAGCCCCTTTTCGGAAACCTCAAATAAACGTGTCATCGGCCTTTTCTGGACCTCAAATCACCATCATTCGCGATAAAAACCTACGATTCCCATTCATAAATTCCCCGAAAAGGAAAAATCCGCCACCAAAAACCATCAAAACCATCAAAAGCGATGCTTTAGCTACACAGTGTCCACCATTCAAAAATGGCCCCGGTTTTTTTTTGCCGATGAACCTCCTTCCATTTGGGCAAAATCTCCAACGTCAGCGTGTCCTGGTGAAGCTGGGAGTTTACCAGCTTTACCATGCTGAGAAAATGCTGATTTTATGGCCCTTCATTGGGATTTCATGGGAGTTTGTTAGCTAAGTTGGGTCAATATACCCTCTGGTAAACTAACATGGCTATTGAAAATGGCCATTTATAGTGAGTTTTCCCATTAAAAATGGTGATTTTCCATAGTTATGTTAGTTTACCAGAGGGTAACCAACAAATATGCTTGATATGTCATAACGTTCCAAAATTTGACCCTGGGATTTTGTGGCAATAAGTTGGTGGGTTCAACCCCCAAAGCATGCGAAAGTCAGGCGTCATCATCCCAAATTTCTATGGTCAGAAAAAAGATGAACAGCCCCAACCAGATCTAGTAGGATGTAGTTCATAGTTCCGTCAAGATTCATTTTTGTTGGTTTATATCCCCATGATATCCACGTTTGATGTTTCTATCATTACCATTTTTCACCCAATTGCATCATCTCAACCAACACCAACTGAATGGGACGTTGATCCCGGGTGCTGAATGGGACAAGGCCAATGATCGGCGTTGGTATGCCATAGACACAAATTGTGAGGTATTCTCAGCTAGACATTACCCATATTACACATAGATACAGATATATGTGCATAGTTTCGTCCCCAGTTGTCTACAGAGTGGTCATCATACATTAATATATATATATATATGTATAGATAGATAGATAGATAGATAGATAGATAGATAGGATAGGATAGGATAGGATAGGATAGGATGGGATGGGATTAGGATTTGATTAGATTAGATAGATAGATAGATAGATTAGATTATTAGATTGGATTAGATTAGATTAGATTTAGATTAGATTTAGATTAGATTTAGATTAGATAGATAGCAATTTCTGAAGATTTAAAGTTTTACACATTTTTTGTTGCAGAAATATTCACCGCATCCCGTGCCGCCGGTCCAGTGTGGTCATCCATGCCACCCCAGAGAACCAATCGCTTCCTGGTAACGATCCCCGGCGAAAAGTGGATGCGCGAAAACATACAGTCCGGGGGCGGGGGTGCAGCCTTGAGCACATAGACGCAGCAGCCCAGCATCGAACATTTTAATTCCAAACTCTATTTCCTAAGCCGACATTTTAGTGACAGGTGCACGATTTGGACTCTCCAGTGCACAAATCCCTGTGTTTTCATATTTCCTAATTCCAAACTCTATTTCCTTTTCTATTGCCTATTCTATTGCCTATTCCTATTGCCTAATTCCGATTACCTGTGTTTTTACAGGTAAAAGGCGGTCAGGCGTTTGCAAGAGAAGAAAAAGGTAATCTTTTTTTTATACGTTTTTGGACCTGTGGAATGAGCAGCCCCACTTTGACTGTAAAAACACAGGTAATCGGAATTAGGCAATAGGAATAGGCAATAAAATAGGCAATAGAAAAGGAAATAGAGTTTGGAATTAGGCAATATGAAAACACAGGGATTTGTACCATTTGGACTCTCTAGTGTGCAAATCCTTGTGTTTTCATATTGCCTAATTCCAAACTCGTCGCAGATACCAGGGTATCTTCTGCAAGTTCCCTTTGTGAAGGGTAGAAGATCGTGCGCAGGATCTCCTTGACAGGATCTCTGTTGAAACTGCTCTGCGCGATTCCTTGACAAGGATATCTGTGGAATATCCTGTGCAAGAGATCCTGTATAGGTTCCGTTCGTCAATATTTTTTAAAGAAGAAAATAACAGCATGAGACAGTAGATGGACGAAAAAATCAAACCTCAAGTAAAACCCCACACCCCAAATTTCAATGTTGCACAAAACTCTATCTAACTTCCTCTGCGTTCAGGGTTTGATTTTTTTGTCCACCGGACCCAACCGCGCAGCCCAAAGACAACATTGAAATTTGGGGGTGCGGGGGTTGACAATAATACAGCAAGGGTTTGATTTCATCGTCCATCTACGGTAGGAAAAAACCATCCGAACTGCGGTTGCACCCAGGCAAAATTGGAAAAAGTTGCCATTAGATTTGGGGGGCCCCGATTTTAGACAAAGCCATAGTTTTTCTTGGCTGGTCCCTGGAAAACTTGTGAGAAGAAATGAAGATTGTCCATGATAATATATTTCACCCGGAGCGCAGAAAACTGCATTCCTAAAGTTGCAACGATCCTCATGTGGAATCAGTTGGAAGCATATTCAATGCCCAATGCATTGTTGCTCGCCGAATTCACAAAAAAGGTGCCACTTGACTACATGCGCATGCGCAAAATGACATTTCACCTTGGTGAAAGAGGGAATATATATATATATACGTATACATATATATATATACACATATACATATACATATTTTATATAATATATATATATCATATATTATCATATCATATCATATCACATCACATCACATCATATCATATCATATCATATCATATATATATATATTATATAAATATATACATATTCGGAATTTTGTGGTTGTAAAAGCACAGCCACCATCCAGATCCAGTGGATACACATCTGGGCCCCGACGGAGCACATTGGTGGCATCTGCCACGTAGGAAGCCAACCTCAGTGCAGGAAGGGATGGTCCCCTGTCAGAGCTGTGGAGCCAGCAAAATCCTACACAAGGATGGTTGAAACATGTTGAAACCCCAACAAAATAAATCATCTTACTGGTGCTTCTAAACGCAGGGAATTTTCGGGAATGGTCCATTTCATCACTAGTTTCATGTCATCATCCCAGCAACCCCCAACCCATCCAGCAACCCTATTAAGCACCAGTAAGTCATGGGACAAAATACCTATCAACTGGTGGATTTCGTAACCATTTTGACGGATTTTCCCAGCTCGAAAGCTCCATCTTACCGGTGCTAAACGTAGGGTTGCTGGATGGGTTGCTGGGGTTGCTGGGATGACATGAAACTACAAGGTGGTGCCCCCCAGTGATGTTAGTTGGTTTATAAGCCCTTTAACTATAGATATATCACCTATAAACCATAGTGAAATTGGAGTTATAAACCAACTTAGCTATCTTGGGGGCACCACCTTGTACTGATGAAATGGATCATTCCCGAAAATTCCCTGCGGGCTAAGCACCAGTAAGTTGATGACATTGCTGCAGAGGGGAAGCATCACCAGCAATTTGTTCCAGGACGCTCCGTGCCGGTGCAGGCTTGCAGGCTCGTGCGCTTGCGAATTCGACGAGACCAAAGGACTGCCGTAAATCATCACCCCCATCCACAGAAGGCCGAGAGAAGCCTGTTTTTTTCCCATCCACCCAAGTCACCCAAGATGATCCATGTCCGTGAAATGGACCCGAAATGGAGCCTTTTCTTGGATGGATCCAAGACTAAAACCATTTAGTTTGGGATAGTTTGGGATAGTTTGGGATGTAATTGATTTGGGCATATTTGGGATATATTGGGAGGATGGGATTCGTCACACTGATTTTTGATGATGCGATCATCATATGGCTGTGGGATGGCGGGTGATGTGGAGCTGCCACATGGAGGCAGAAAGTGAAATGAATTGAACTTAAATCATTCGTTACCCGCCAGACTCACCACCTCTGGCAGTGAGCTGAATACCTCAGGTTTCACCTCACGCTCGCGAGGATCGCCATGAAGCCCTGGCAGGATCAAAATCGAGTCGGATCAGGTTTCTCAGAGCCAAAAGCTCACAGAACCTCTGTTCACTTCACCGTGATCACCCTGAAGGTACCGGGATGTTTCAGTCGAGCCCACGCCGTGCTTCACTACAGGACCAACAACCTGGTGCCTGGCGTGACTGGCGTGGCTGGCGTGCCTAGCGGCTGGCTCAAGCTGAGGACGAATCAGCAGCATCAACATCGCCTCAACTATCTCCTCCGTGACTGGTACGGATGACGATGACGATGCGGATTCCGATGCCATGGATGTCATCGTCGAGGAACACCGGTGTCGATTCTCAGCAATTGCCGCACTTGCTTTCGCATTTCGGGCCTTCTTGGCGGACTTGGACCTTGCTCCAAGGTCGCCACAAATCAAAATGCTTCAAGGGAATAGGGAAACCCACATGACGATGGGTCAAAACCTATTAATTCTCCTCTATTATTTACATTTTTTTCTGGAGGTTTGCTCACATCCATAAACCTGCTATGACTTAGTGTATCATCCGGGTTTCCCCAGATTTTGACTCAGTTCGTCCAAGGCACTTTGCACGCTGCGGCTCGGGTGTCGTCATTGGAAACACCGGTAGCAAGCCGCTTTGGGATGGGAGAATTCAATCCGTGGCGGTCCGTGGTATACCAGGAAGCGCCCTTTGGTCCAAATCACCATGCTCATACAGTACATGTTACATCGACGATCCACATTTTGTCCAAATCCCTGTTGTTTAATCCATTTTAATCCTATAAACCCTGATGATTACGCCCCAAATCATCCATGGGTTAATCATCACTATCCGAATTGAAATGGCAATAGGGTGGTATTGTCAATTGAGAAAAAAACGCAGTTTTTCCATTCACGTCCCAACACCATGGCCGTGGCCCACTGGGGAGTCCAACCCATGGTCATTCCAAGCGCTCACACACCAGAGGCTGGATTCGCCTGGGATCCAAAAATGCAGCTTTTGCCACCGTTAAAGAAAAACAACCGTGGGCAATCGTGAAGAATTCGAGTTTTTACCAACACGAATTGGGAATTTATCTTATAAATATTATAAATAATGGAAATTGGTGACTATTATGCGGAAAATGTGACTGAAGTTACCCTCCCGTACTCAAACATGGCTAGAAAATCCAGCCATAAATAAGCATATTAAAATCCGCCCGCACCGAAGGTGCTGGGGCGTGATCGTCCGGATGGCACTCGTAAAAGGTTACAGGTTTACCTGGGGGGGACGGGCATTTTTCGGCCAAAACCTCCTGTTTTTGATAGGTCGTGACGCTCGCCTTCAAAAAACACTGTAAAAAACAGTACGGAAGACACCTGTTCGTGAACGCGCCCGTCCAAAATCGGCAAGCGAAAAGTGAAAAAAAACCGTGTTTTTCAACTTTTTGACCTCAATTTTTTGGTTTGCAACATCTTTTTTTGCGGTTCCGCAGGTGGCCGGGCCCGGAGGCGGATTTTTGAGTTTTTGGACCCGTTTTCGGACTGATTTTCGTCGTTTTGTGATAGCAGAAACACTGGTTTTTACAGTGTTTTTCTGTTTTCTGCATGCTTGACGGCTAGCTTCAAAACTTCCAAAAACCTCGTAAATTACGCTGTTTTATGTTACGGTGTGAATGAAAACATCGTAAATACCAGTGTTTTTTGACGTTGGTTAAAAAAACACTGTAAATTACAGTGTTTTTGGCCACCTGACCCTCAAAAACCATGGTATTTGCAGTGGTTTCTGCTTCTCACCGCGCAAAAACACTGTAAATAACAGCAATTTCGCCGTTTTTTCATGTTTTTCGTTATTTTTTGAACTGCGTTGGTCCGCTATACATGGCTATCAAATTCTTCGCATTTTTTTTTCCGACAATCAGTACTTTCGGATGTTTTTGGTAACGATGCGGTGCGGGCGGTTGCCGTCGCGAAGCGACGTGAATTTTAACAAGGGGAAATCATTGACACTAGAGGGTCCCCGTGCAACCCATTAGTTTGAGCCTTTTCATATGGTTTGTTTTGGAATAAGGGACGATAACCTCCATTTCATGATCATGTTCAGGGGAAACATGATGCAATATCACTGGATTTGTTGGAGGAGGTTGTAGAATTTGTGGCAAGTTTCCATATTCGTCTAGTCATATGCTCACATGCACTAAAGATTCCACTAAGCTGTGTCAGTTTTGTTGCTTAGTATTCCCATCATTTACATGCCCGTCCGCAACATTGATCTCCATAATTGATGTGGTAAACCGAAGCCATAAACACCATTTCCAATTTACCCAAGTTTATCACTTTCAGGGCAAAGGATTATGTATATATCATTATATATATATACATACGTTACATCCAAAACCCCAGTTTTAATCTGAATATCCCCGTATCAATCCCCATGATAGTTCCATTGTTGATATCGGCCTTGGCTGAAAATAGAATAGTCCATTCCATCCATTGGCTGATATCACCACTGATTAAAATTTCGTCACCAAAATTTAAGGAGGGTATGCCCTAGGGTAAACTAACATAGATATGGGAAAACATGAACAAAAAAAACATGTCTAGATCCCCTTCCGAAGGATACCCTCTGGGTATGTCAAAATAGCTATTGAAAATGGCCCAGTCGAAATAGTTGATTTACCCATTAATAGCATGGTGGATCTTTCCATAGGTATGTTATTTGGCCATTTATAGTTGATTTACCCAATAAAAATTGTGATTTTCCATAGTCATGTGACAGTTTACCAGAGGGTAAAACCCAAGGATTTTCCACATCAGGTTCGTTTCCCCCGGGGGAAAACCCAGGTCGCCCGAAACGGCCCAGGGACTGTGCAGCAGCGCTTCCAACTGGCTCAAAAAGACCAACAAGTCCGGTGACAACGCTTGACCTGGACACCAGGTGAAGCGAACTCGCGAATTCCATGGGTTGTCCACCACCTAACGGCTGGTAAAGCTACAAAAAACGATGGAAAGATCCGCCATTTTCAATGGCTAAATCCACTATTTCAATGGGCCATGTTCAATAGCTATGTAACAAATTACCAGAGGGTAACGGCTGATATTGATAGGATATTGCTGGCTAATCACCTAGCCGTAAATCAGCAAAAAAAACCTGGCATTCGTCGGGGTTGGAAGATGAGTTTCTATTCAAAATTGGTGATTTTCAGGGTCCAACTGTTAATTTACCAGAGGGTAATTGATATTCATATTGATGGTATGTATCCATAGATGCTGTTCCATTTTCGATGGCTGATGTTGATGGGATCACTGAGATGGTTGAATTCTCTATAGTCTCTATATTTGATGATTACTAATCCATACTAATTAATGGATAATGATGGGTATTGGTATTGATGGATATTGATGACTACTACTTCATGGATATTGATGGATATTGATGGATATTGATATGGATGGTTAATCTCCATTGGTAATCCACAATGTAAGTTAATAACAGTTACCATCCCGAAATTTGTGGTTTATTATCGGATATCATATGATACGAATGGCTGATATAAAAAATGTGTTGATGGTTTTCCAGGTATAGATATATCATATTACCATAAGTCCTAGTTATTGGAATATAAACCAACTTGGCTACAGGATGGTCCCCCACAGGTATGTCTGTTGGTTTATAAACCCCATGAATACAGGATGGGGCGCCCCAGTTATAAGTTGGTTTGTAAACATTATAATCCCCATTGACTAGTTCGTTATATCTACCATAAACCATAGTTAAGCCACTTATAAGGCAACTGAACGCTATCTTGCTATAGTTTAATATCTACCATGAACCATAGAATTCAGCCTCTGGAATAAGGCAACTGAATGCCACCGGGGCCCCCATCCTGCAATGGCTAATGGATATTGATGGGATCATGGATTACCACGAAGGTCTGTGCAGTGGGTTCTTTAAAATCCACTTTCTTAATATGAATGGAGAATAATGGGATACCAAACGGAAAAAAAAACACGTTCATGATTGCGAGGGGAAACGGTAACTTGTTTTATGAAAGTTTGATGGGCCAACAAAGAAAATGCTTGTGCACTTCGATAATTCAGCCAGTCAGCCAGTTGATGGAATCCACTGTCAAGTGAATAGTTTCAGATAAGCAATATAACATCATCAAACAAAAATAAATTTCGGCATTGCTTATGTACAGACACCTCCATTCACAATGTACATATATATATGCGTGTATAATAAAATGTAATATAATATTAAAAAAAAATATATATTATAGAATAATATTATATAATGTAGCGAAATTTAATATAATATAATAAAATAAATTATAATATAATATGATATAATAAAATACAATATACTTTACTATACTATAATAAATATATACATATATAGTAAACTATAATAAAATATAATATAATATAATATAATAGATTATAATATAATATAATATAATATTAAAAAAAAATATAATAATATGATATAATATACTATAGTAAAATACTATATAGTATAATATAATATCATATTATATTATATAGTATAAAGAAATAAAATATAATATAATATACTATAATAAAATATTATATACTATAATATAATACAATATAATACATTTAAATAATAATAAAATACAATACAGTATAATACAATACAATATAATCAAATACAAATATAATACTATATTATATAAAACAATACAATACAATAAAATATTCTGTAATATAAATAAACTACATTATAATATGAATAGAATATAATATAATATAATACAATATAACACAATATGATACAATATAATTTAATATAATATATTATAATTAAAGTATAATACATTATAAATATAATATAACCTGAAATCAAAATAATATAACATAATTTAAGTTAATATAATATAATAAAAAAATATAATATAATATAATATATTATAATATAATAGGATATAATATATACATGCATATAAATCCCTCAAACAGACAGAGATCTGAGATGAAAAACAGGCCCATTCCCTAGTGAATTGGATGAAATCGATCCATGGAAGTTGCTCCACCACGCTGCAGAAGCCTTATTTTCTGGTGTCATCAAACATGGCAATCGCTTTTTTCCCTTTTGTAGATGATTCTCCCAGCTATAAATTTCCCTTTGTGATTTCCCAGCCATGCTTGATTCGGCCATAGTCCATCATCCAAACTCCACCAGCCTCCTTGCAGTATTAGCAAGGAGTTTGCCTGGCAAATCGTGGAAGTACCTGTTTTCCTGGTGGCTGTTTATGGGGGAGAAACTAATCCCAATGATGTTTAATTTAGAGTGAATAAATTCATGCAAAAATAAACATGTCCCGGATGAATATCAACCCAATGCTTGCCATGGTCTATCAACTAGGGGGTTACTCCCCCAGAACGTAATAACCTGCTCTATAAGCCTTGGACGCGGAAAAAAATCCCTACTGGCCATGGCAGTAGTGGGAAAATCGACTAGACATGGTTGCTTTCAATCAATCAATGGTGGTTCGCACCATTGATTTACAGATGATTTTCCCATGAAGCAATCAATCATCTGTAGATCAATTGTGCTTTACCACGGTAAATCATCTATCAATGGTGTTTTTTCGTTCGGAAAGTCTTCTCTTTCGCTATTTCGATGAAGGCTTCCACAACTTTCATCCCTACGGAGGACAATTCCCCCTTAAGGCAAAAGTAACCCCGAAAAAAATATGAACGAAAAAAACAAATCCAACTAGTTCAGGATACTGCTATCTCTTTATTTATATAATTCATCCGGTTGCTTCTTTTGGCTTGTCCTTTATCCGCCGACCCCTGCCTAGCCTTGGCCTAGGCGGGGCGGCGCCCAGGATCACCGTAGGTGTGCGACCGTGGCTGCACCACCTGTGGCAGCTTTGCCTTTGGCCAGCTGTGGTTGCCAAGCCTCTTTCGAAACTGTTCCTCGCCCCGTGAAAACCGTCGCTGCAGCTTCAGCAACCCCTTGCGCCAAGGGTTGTGCCCCGCCGTGTCGATCCACACTACCAACTGCTACCTTTGCTTCTACACGGCCCCACTTACAAGACTTCCCAAGAGTGTCGAATCAGCCGTTTGCCGCCTTTGGTTCCGAAACACCCTGGCTGCGCGACCTTGCAAGAGTCTTGCGCTGCGGCTTGCCACCATTGGTTCTACAGGCGATACCTGCCCGTGCTATGTCATGCCTTCGAAGAGTCAACTGTTGTTTGCCACTTTGGTTCTGCAAAGCCCTACCTGCCAAGCCTTGTCAAGCATTTTGTAAAGGGGTCGGCGGTACCAGGGCGTTAGCCCATTTATATAATAATTAGTCCCCATTATACTCATCAATTTCCTCAAGTATACATCATAATACCTTTTGGGTTGTCCTTTATACACAATAGTCCCCATGAATTATATTCAGCGATTTCCCCAAGTACACATCATGATACTACAATCTGAGTAAATTATGATATTTCCCTCACCTGAATTAGGGCCATTTGAGGATAACTTCCCTTACTAACCACCATTCCAGTGAGGGAGAACAGTGAGGTCGTTATGATTTACCCAGATATATCGAACTAGTTACTATAACTAGGGCTTACATATGAGGCTTATGGTAGATATATCATATATCGAACTAGTTGCTATTGGTTACTATGGCATACTATGGTTTATAAACTAACTTATAATTTCCCCGCTTTACAAAGCGTGACTTTTACGAAGCCATCTGCCTTCGCTTCCGCGGCCATCACGGTCCCCTTCTTCAAGGCCTGGCCCTTCCTGGGACGACTCCCCGGTCCGGTGGTTGATGTTGGTTGATAGTTTATTGTTAACATAATGATTATGGATAGATTATGGATGTTTATTATGGATAGATCTGTTATGGATGTTTATTGTTATAGATAGTTATAATCTATCCATAATCTATCCATAATCTATCCATAATCTATCTATAACTGGTTGGTGGTTGAGCCCTAACGCCTATGAAAAATGATGGAGTGAAAGTCAGTTGGGATGATGACATTCCTATATGGAAAGTCATAAAATTCCATGGTTCCAAACCACCAACCAGATAACATTCCATAGCATTCTATAACTATCTATAACTCGCACCCGAATTATGCCCTTGTGGTGTTCCCGTGATCACAACTCATAATCTACCACTCAAATCGTGGGGGAACAAACCCTGTCCCAATTTTACCCAACCCGGATCCAACATGGGCAGTTCATCTTCCCAAACCCATGGATCATGGTGAATTTTGCCACGACTTCCTGGTTGGTGGTGCAACTTCAAAAGGATGGAGTTCGTCAATGGATGGTGGATGACATCCCATGAAATGGAAAATAAAATACCATGGTTTGAAACCACCAACCAGTTATGTCATTAACCATTATTAACCACTAATAACCATCATTAACCAACCATTATCCACCATTAGCCATTAGTATCCATCTCTTTCGCATTTTACTTCGCTGGATACTATCTTCGGTTGCTGAACTCCACATCGCTCTGAGGCCGGAACCCAGCTGACCGGCCTATGTGGATGCTGACCAAGATGGGGATGATGGGGGGACCGGCCACCACCATCATTTTCCCCAGAATGTGATGGCCAGTGATGGCCATCCAGTGGGTAACCAATGTGATGGCCATCCTTTCGAGTTTTTTCACCATCCAATCATGGTCAGCAGCATGGCCCGGGAAAATCACCAGAAACCAACCGACCTTCGATTTTTGCTTGGCATTAGATTCCCGGATGTCCAAAAAAAAAAACATCCGGCAGTAAAAACCCAGCAGTTTTCTCAGTCTTTCCAGGTACCGGGAACATTCCGCCACTTCGCCATGTTCACCAACTTGCCCAACTCGCCTTGTGTGAAAGTCCGAAAGTCGCTGTAAGCCTGGTGTTTTGGGTGGCCGAACTCTTTGGAAATGGACCTGGAAGCCCTGTCGTCATTGGTCCAAAAAACTGGAGCGAAGTCATTTGGAAAAGAAAAAGAACCGTTGAGATCCTGACTGGTTGGTGTTTTCAACCAATATTTGGGATGATTATTCCCAATATAGGGGAAAAAAACATGTTCCAAACCACCAACCAGCTGAAAATCCTTTTCTAAAATGAGATAACCCCACAGTTTTTTCAAACGTGGCAATGGAAAATCCATGTCCTTTAAGCCCTGACGCAGGGGGGGTTGTCATGGACTAACTCAAGTGGTTTACCCTGAAATATACACATGTCTAATCCCATCATCCTAATATTAAACAACCCCATAAATGGTCCCAATTATGTGGAAATTCCCTACTAAATCATGGTTTCTAAGGGGGTGTTTAATATTCGGGGGAAGGGATTATTGTGTAATTCACATTAAAACCCAGTCTTGTAGGAATCGGAACAGGGTCAGCATTCCGGTGAATGAATCATCACAAGATTCTTGCTACGCTGAACTTCAGGAAGTACCATTTCACATGTTCTAAGTGTATGTTCCGTAAATTGCTGCTTGGTGGTATACCAACCCGGAAAAATGATGGAGTTCGTCAGTTAGGATGATGAAATTCCCAATATATGGAAAAATTTACCATTCATGTTCCAAACCACCAACCAGATTAGTATATGGTTTTGTCTGTGTTCATGGGGTACCCCTAAATCCCATGATCTAATGATCATTTTCCTTATTTGAACTTGCCATTTGGAGGTATATCCCATTGTCAGACACACTGAAAAATAAAAACCTTGGGTTATCCCACCAGCATATTTTCTCACTAAAAACTGGTCGCTTTACATCAACATGTTTGTCCAAAAACAAGTGTAGGAACAAATTTTCGGGCCACATATGATCCCAAAAATGTTCCATGACGAGTTTTTGAGCCATCGCCAGCTGCTTTTCCCTCTGGGCCCAAGGACTTTCAGTGAACCATCAGACACTAAAAGGACATTGCTTGGCCTCGGCGGGAGAAGCTGCAAAAAAATCCTATGGAAAATGTCCCATTGATGGCAAATATCATCTAGATATGAAAAATGAATATTTTCCACAACGAACTGCTAAACTACCACAGGCTAGCAACTACCCATTTTGTGTAATGAGAATAACCGGCTAGAGTCAACATATGAACAAAAAATCGCATTGGTTTTCAAAAAAAACATAAACTCAGGTGCCATCCCTAACACTTTGAAAGCTTCTGCGTTTTTTCCATAAAAAGATCTTATGACATCAAATTAAGCGCTTATGCCATAAAAATTAGGTGCTTATGCCACAAAAAAACACCGTAACCCATTGGAATTTCACAAAGCATCTGCACCAGAACCCTCCGGAACCTCACAAGGTATCTGCACCGGAACTCTCCGGAACCTCACCAAGCATCTTCTCCGCCAAAACCTTCCGGAACCTCACAAGGTCTCTGCACCGGAACCTTCTGGAACCTCACAAGGTATCTGCACCGGAAACTTCTGGAACCTCACAAGGTCTCTGCACCGGAACTCTCCGGAACCTCACCAAGCATCTTCTCCGCCAAAACCCTCCGGAACCTCACAAGGTCTCTGCACCGGAACCTTCTGGAACCTCACAAGGTATCTGCACCGGAACTCTCCGGAACCTCACCAAGCATCTTCTCCGCCAAAACCCTCCGGAACCTCACAAGGTCTCTGCACCGGAACCTTCTGGAACCTCACAAGGTATCTGCACTGGAACTCTCCGGAACCTCACCAAGCATCTTCTCCGCCAAAACCCTCCGGAACCTCACAAGGTCTCTGCACCGGAACCTTCTGGAACCTCACAAGGTATCTGCACCGGAACTCTCCGGAACCTCCCCAAGCATCTTCTCCGCCAAAACCCTCCGGAACCTCACAAGGTCTCTGCACCGGAACTCTCCGGAACCTCCCCAAGCATCTTCTCCGCCAAACCCCTCCGGAACCTCACAAGGTCTCTGCACCGGAACCTTCTGGAACCTCACAAGGTATCTGCACCGGAACTCTCCGGAACCTCCCCAAGCATCTTCTCCGCCAAAACCCTCCGGAACCTCACAAGGTCTCTGCACCGGAACTCTCCGGAACCTCCCCAAGCATCTTCTCCGCCAAAACCCTCCGGAACCTCACAAGGTCTCTGCACCGGAACCTTCTGGAACCTCATCAGGTAGCTGCACCGGAACCCTCCGGAACCTTGTCCGGAACCTGGTGTTGAAGCTGCACTGGATGGGGAAAACCTGACACCATGAGATCCATGAGAATCAGCAAGACGTTTGTCATCACCGATTGGTATTGGCCACCTGACCATCCCATTGTAATATCGAAGTGGCTCGTCCTGAAATTGAGGTAATCAAATGCATTGATTGATCCATCCACGCATCCATCTATATGTATCCGATACATATAGAGAGAGAGAGAGTGCATACTCACAGAAACATGCTGAAACTTTCGGATGATGTTTACCCTCTGGTAAACATACAAAAAGCTATTGAACATGACCCAGTCGAAATAGTGGATTTACCCATTAAAAATAGTGCTTTTCCATCGTTTTTTGTAGGTTTACCAGGCCAGGTAAAAACTGAAACTTTCGGAAACCGAAACGCTCCGCCAGTCCCAGTCCCAAACCCCGGCAGACGTCACGTTTCAGGCTAAGCGGCACGAGCCCGGTCACGTTGCGCAAGCTGGCCACGGACTGCCAGGACGGACGTTGCGGACTGGGAATGGGGATATCCAGCCAGTGAACCAGTTGCCGTTATGATAATCATAAAATAATATATGACAATTAATAATATATACATATAATGATTATAATGTAGATGCAACTTTATATATACATAATAGTAATAGTCGTAGTAATAATAATAATATAATATAATATAATCCTATGTCAATCTATGATTATAACCTCTATTTCACATTGTCGTCGATGATATCAATCGTAAACCACTTTTGCTGACAGTGGATCACAATTTGTAACATAGGAAGGTGAAGCGACCATAACATTTTTTTAATGCAAATCGTGGATCTATATCTTCCAATTCTCTTGCAAAACTTCCACATTCTTGCTGTTACCATGGTAAATCCAAGAAGAATCCAATAAGAAGAGATTCTTTTCCATGGATCCAATAACATGATCGATAGCCGCTATAGCCTATGGATCCAAGAATCAGCATCACGAAAAAAGATGAAGGGATGATCTTTTGAAGGTCCCATTAAAACACCTCATTAACCATTTCAATAGTTACCCATATCATTAATGTTTGATGGGTTGATTTAATGGAACGGTTGACTAGCAATAATCCATTTAATGATATGCCATAAACCAACTAATAATATGTATATATATATTAACCATGTCAATAGTTACATTATCAAATGATAAATAAACATTATCCAACTCATAATGGACTGTAACTATTGATAAACATGGAGTCTATCTGAGAATTTATTAAATATCTAAGAATGGATTGATAAGCATTATATAACTGTACCAATATTATCAAATATTCAATATGTTTAAATAAATCAACTCATTAAAATTCCGAGAAAAATGGATGTTTCAATGATCCCAACCAATCCATCAACATGAAGAAGCACCACAAAAAAACCCACTATTTATGGAGAAGCATTGCCCCATTTATGGAAACTCCCAAATGATAAATAAACCATGGAATCCACTAAGAATATCTATTATTGACCATCATTAACCATCCATTATTAGGCCCTTATTACCCTCTGGTAATGACTAACATAACGAACTGGAAAGATCCACCATTGTTTCATGGGAAAAATCATTCTTTCTATGGTGGATCTTTCCATAGTTATGTTAAATTACCAGAGGGTAACCATTCAATAGTTACTAAGAATGGAAGGTTAATGGATGGGTTGATCATTTCTTTTCCCAGCCTCTGCCGTAGGCTGCAGCATCAGCACCTCGCAGAAAGCTGGAAGCGGCGTCCCAAAGGAAAGCCTTGAAACGTTGTCCCAATAAGGGTACTCATAGATAGATAGATTTGCTTAGATTTTATTGGATTGGATGAGATTTAGATTTAGATTTAGATGAGATTCGACATCAATCAGTTCCTATGAGGTTCCTCATACTTCCTCAATAGCCATCACCTGTTGATCAAAGCGAAGCACTGTGTACCCACAAACTCCGAATGTAGTTCACATTCACAAATGGTGCCATTGCGCAGTAAACTCGCAGGATGTGCATGACAGCAGAAACATATGGCAACTTCGTCCTTTAAGGGTTTTGGTGTTGACCCGTGCCCATGTGTGCCATGGTCTTCCGAAAATTGCAAAGCCATCTGAGGGGATCATCATGAATCCACTGATATGGTAATTATATACCGGTTCTCTTGGATTCCAAATCTAGTACAATGTGGGGCCCCCAAACGATAGCTAAGTTGGTGAACATAACTCCAATAACTATGGTTTATTGTACTTATAACTATAGTTAATGGGGTTTATAAACCAACTTATAACTGGGGGGCACCACCTTGTACCACGTCAAAAATATCCCATGTAACTTCACCATAGCTTACAGTTTTCTGTTACAAAAAAGAATGATGGCTTTCTGTGACAGTCATGGGGGATCCCCAAGGTCTTTCCACCATGGCCCCAAGGCACGAAGATGCTGTGGATGGGCCCCAATCGTGGGTCTCCGGCCGGCCTGGGCAAACATTCTTGATCACAACACGAAAAAAAATCACCTGTTTGACACTGATACCTACAACATGTGCGCATGCATGTGAATATGCACATGTGACTGAGTATATATGTATATACATCCATACAAAAAATTTGTTTCATGCATTTATTCATTTACAGTACTTATTGGTCTATTTGTTTATTTCTCTATGTTCAGTCTTGGGGTTTTCCGGAAAGTATGTTTGCTTCAGTGTTTCGCCCCAATTTCAGGATATGTCTGTGCCTTGTTTTCTACGCATGCCCCCACTCGGGGCAGCACGGCAGCCCCGCACCAGGTGCCCCAACAGCAGCCCAGCGGAGAAGAGGTTGAGCTTGGCGTAGCTGTTGGGCCTCTGTTGGGACCCATCGAGGCCAGTGGTTTTTCCCAACGGATAGGGATTTTAGCAGTCGATGATCTGAAAATTCATTAGTTCCCCAAAATTCCCCAAAAAACGGAGAGATTTTAGCGGCTTTTATTGGGATGTGAAAATTCATGAGTTCCCAAACGCCTGACGACACTGTAGTTTACTCTGTGAAAATGCATGCCATGGTGCTAAACATGTTGTAAAAGCACGTGTTTCTTTCATGTGCTTACTTCTAGGCTCTACGTCCTGTAATGCAGTGCAATGTGATGTAATGTTCTATCCTGTTATGCTCCACTCCCCTTTACAGTGAAGGGAGACTAAATCTAACAGTAACGAAGGTGCACGCCAAATTGGACACCAAACAGTGCCAATCCATGCTTGAGAGCTATAGAAGAGCCATGATGTTTTGCTTCCATGCCCGTCTTTGCAAACCCTTTTTACATCTACGGATCTAGCTATAATCGGTATGCCACTCCAGTGCTGCCATCAGTGTAGCGGTAAGTGACCCACGTCAAAGCGTAGCATCACGGAACGAACCGAACGTGAAAAAAGCACCCCACCTATTTATTAAAAGAAAAACAACTCTATGTGTATATGTATTTATATATATACAACTATCTATACACTAGATTATCTTACCCTGCCTTGCATTAAATTATATTAAATGAAATTACATTAAGTACATTACGTTAACCTTACATTACATGACATTACATTGCGTTCCATTGCATTACTTAGCATGGCAAAGTGTAACATAACAAGATATGACATAAATGTACAGTATAGTACAGCACATACATTGTTACATGCATACATCATGCATCTATATGTATATTATATATGTACACTATGTGTATACATATATATATATATATATATACACCCTATTTTTGCTGTTAAAGGAAATCATTCCTGGTTTCAATCGTTGCGACAGCCATGTTTTCATCCTGCCACACCTGGCTTTCACCGTTGAGGCTTTGAAAGCCTCCAGACTTTCTGCGGACCTTGCAGCAAGTGGAGCCAGTTTTTTCGTAGTTAACAAAGTTAACCATCATGAAAACTCAGTTATTTATGGATATTTATGGAATGTCCCCAATGATATTATACTCATTTATATTAAAACACATATATATATATATACTATATACATTGATACCCCAATGATATGGAGGTTTCCTAAACTGGGGATACCCCTATATAAATCATCCATGTCATTTCTGGATTTTCCATGCAATAAACAATCCAGCTATTTGGTACCCTGAGGATGGCATTTCAGTGGCCAGCGGTCCTGAAATTCAGCAAAAAAGAACAGGTCTATGGCCATTCAAAACTTACGCGAAAATTGGACTTTACTTGTTAAAAACCTCGAGTTCTGGTTGGTGGTTTTTCGCCACCCCTCTGAAAAATGATGGAGTTCGTCAGTTGGGAGTATTCTTCCCAATATATGGAAAAATAAAATTCATGTTTGAAACCACCAACCAGCTGGAGTTTGATGGGTTTTTTTCAAGAAAATTTACAACCCCACCTGCTACAAACCTGCCACACCCTCTTGGCCCCGACATCCCACACCGGTCCCCCGAGTGGTGAACGCCACGTCTGTATGGCTCTTCTTCGCTTCGTGCCTGGGCGAAAAAATCATGGCCTCATTGGTTAATTTATGCTATCAACATGTATCAACAATACGGTAACAATATGGAATATGGTAGATACTATGGTATCATAGGAGAAGGGGTAGACCCTTCAACATTGGTGTCATGTATCAACATTGGTGTCATGTATCCACACTATTTTTTCTGGTTTTACAATTGAGTTCCTAGACACCCTGAAAAAAAAAATCACTGATGAATTCCATGAATTCCCCAATGGCCCGAAAAAAATCGATGGAGCTATTGGAGCTAGAGCCTCAAGGGGTCGCGTAGAAACGTGGCAAAAATGGAAGAACCTCCCATTGTTTGCCATTTTTTTTGAGGTTGTATGGCAAAATCATTGAACTAAAAATGTTGGATGGTTTTTTCTAGCGGAGCTGACTACCAGAGGGTCATGTAAATGACCTATACATGTCTTGTTTTTCAAAACCCCTGGTGAGGATGGCAAAAACTGAAAGGGAAAGTAACGTCAAAAATTGATTTGGAGAGTCAAAGCCTTAAAACTCAGAGTTCCCTATATATAATATATATAATATAATATAATATATATATACAGTAATATATTTTTTCCAAATGCTTCCCAGAGTTCCTATGTTTTAAGCCAACTCGCAAAAGGGATCACCGAGACTCCCGACGCGAAGTGTAGCCCAGGACTTTTCAGGCGCAGATGTGTCTTGCCTCCCACGGACCTCGTGATGCAGAGGATCTCCTAAAATGGAGGTACGTTAGTACCATATTTTGGGCCATATTTTCTGGGGATATTCCCTTACATAGGGCCTGAAAAATAGGCCTTGTATATGGTAGGTACCTCCATTTTAGGATCCTGAAATTCCCATTGACATCAAGAGAAAAGGATGTCGAGAGAAAGTACTGCTAAAGAGAAAGAGATGACAGAAGAAAGATGTGTCATTTTCATCCCAGAAGTGCCTTTCAGAAAGAGATGAAGGTTTCTTGAAATGAGGCTACCCCAAAATCATCCAAGGCAATAGACCAAACTATAGTAAGAACGAGGCATTAAGACATTTTTTTCTGAGCACCAGCATGCTGTGTGGTTTGGTTTTGAAACACCCACCCCAACTCCTATAGAGAAAATGTGTCCTGCACTCCTTTTTGGAAACATATGTTCCTAGCGGACATTTGCGCCACCTGCCTTGTGTCTATTTAAGTAGTTGTTCATAGAGGTTCCTGATATCCCATTTCAACATATTTCAACCACTCCTGGCGCCAACACTGAACCACTGGGGCCTTAGTTTTGACATGGTCTGGAAGACGATTGTCCGATTGGATAAGGCAAACCTTGTGGTTTCCTTATCCAACTTACCCTCTGGTTATAACAAACAAAAAGCTATTGAAAATGGCGATTTATAGTTGGTTTACCCATTAAAAATGGTGATTTTCCATAGTTTTTTGTAGGTTTACCAGAGGGTATTGGAGTTGTGTTCACCGTGTTCACCAACTTAGCCAACAAACTGGGCGACCACCTAGTTGGATACATCCATGATTCATCCATGATTCATCCGATGTATTGTCGGTTGGTTTCCCATTCATTAACCATGATTCACAATCATCAACCACCATTTACCAGGTGTTCACCGTGATTAACCATTTGTTTGTCCCATTTTTTATATAACACATCATTGTTCAAGCATTGTCGTCACCCGCTGGGAACTCAACGACGACACCAAGGGCAGGCGACAAACGCAGAAGCGGCGCACGCGCGGGGCCGAGGCTGAGCCTGAAGGTGGAAGTTTCCAACCATTCCAACCCATCATCAATGGATTGGTTTAAGGGAAAATCTACACCGGAAACCCATGGGTTTTTACCATCAAATATAGGGCTTTCCAGTGAAAATTTTCCCATCATCCAATTGCAACCCCATCAAAATGGTCCCCTCTGGTAAATCGCCACTGCCAATATATGAAACTCAACTTTTTTGAGCCAGAAAAATCGATAGCTACGTTCGTTTACCGGTGATTTTAAGAAATGGTGAAAAAGTCTTAGTTAACAATCAAAAATGGTAAAAGACGGTGGATTTAACAAACATAACAAACCAAGAATGGAAATGGACGCATTTCATAATTGAAAATTATGGGATTTACCATCAACAGTGAGATTTCTTGATGGGGACAATGCTGATTTTCATCATTATCAAGAACCGGGATTCTCTGAATTCACATGAGTCCGAAAATATGGGATACCCAAAACAAGTTTCACAGCTTCAATCAACAAAAAAATCCAATAAAATTTAAGATTCAGGGTCAAGTCCCAATCTATTCAATATATTCCATAAGTAAAAATCCGGTAAACATAGCAATGGATATGTTTTTTTCCCAACTAAATGGAGGTGTTTTCAGAGGAATTCATCTACAAAAAAAGATCCTGGGAGGCGCGGCTAAATCCTCCACTATGAATCACCAATAAGCCAGGCCCGGCTTATTGGAACTGCTATTCTGCATATTCCCATCATGATCCCTTCAATATCCATAAATATCAGGTGATTATCCATAGCTGGTTGGTGGCATACCTACCCCTCTGAAAAATGATGGAGTGAGTTCGTCAGTTGGGATTACGAACTTCCCAACTGAATGGATTTTTTTTACCATTCATGTTCCAGTCACCACCAATATCCACTAAATATGATCCATAAATATCCAAGTAATCTCCCATCCCAAGCAGGCTGCCCAGCAATCGCCCGCCATGCCAGCTTCGGGAGCACCTCTGGAAAAAGGGGGAACCATTGTCCCTCGAAAAAAACGCCCGAAATACCAGTGATTCGTATGGCTTGTTGGTGATGAATAGTGGTGTTAATAGTGGTGTTAATAGTGATTAATAGTGTTTAATAGTGATTAATAGTGATTTATAGTGATTTATAGTGATTTATAGTGATTTATAGTGATTTATAGTGATTTATAGTGATTAGTGGTTAATAGTGATGAATGATGGTGGTAAATGGCTTCTAATGGGGGTGTCATACCATTTTCATGGGCTGACTTACTGACGGCCATATCTGGTAGAAATCGGGCCGCAGTGAATCAAATCAGAGAAATCAAAACCGTAAAATTCACTGACAGAACTATAAAGATGATAAAGTATAAACTATATACCCTCTGGTTATGACTAACATAGCCATGGCATAGATGGCCCATAGAAATAGATTCTTTACCGATCAAAAATGGTGGATCTTTCCATGGCTATGTCGGCTATGTTAAATAACCAGATGGTAAATCTATATCTATATAAGCTTAAAATTCACTTGGCTATGGATCAATACCTATACATACCCTTTTTAAGGGGTTATTCACATCCATAAATCCCAGCTATGACTTGATGTTCACAAAAGGGGTACTATGGGTTTTGACCCATCCCCACTTCTGGGTTGCACAAGAAGATAAAACACGGTCCCGGATGTCCTGAAATCCAAACACCAATTCATCTGACACAAATATCATCCCACTGGCCAGTTCAGTGAAATTACCCAACCCAGATCCCCAGAGTTTAAGATGGAAAAAAACATGAAAAACACATGAAAAAACGTGTGGAAAAAAACCCTATTTTCCAAACCCATCTAAAAACAAAACCAATGTTGTTGTCCCCCGAAATCCATGACCTGGCGCTGGTTGTCCTGCTGCACATCGACCTCGAAGTAGGGTACAGCTCATTGCCATGTTCAGCACCATAAAGGCCCTAGAAACCATGGGAAAATCGCGATTGAACCAAGAAAAATATGGCGATTTCCATATGGAATATGGCTGATTTCATAGCTGGGAACATGATAAATCACTTGGAATGGAGTAGCCTAAGTTCAGACCCACAGCTACATCTGACAAGAATCATCCAGTTGCCAGTTCGGAAACCTACAAACTTCACGAGGAAAATGTGTCCCCTGCCTGTGTCTCGATGTAATCCTGGAAAAGCAGATGTCACTGCCTGCCGATGTGGGGAGACTTCAATCTGGGATCGCCAACAAAATCTCAACAAAAAGTGCGCGATTGATCATGTATACATATAAGTATATCATCATATATCATAAACCGCATGTTTAATCGTAGTCTCCACAATAATTAGTCATAAATATATATATATATAATATCCCCACAAAATATGGCCAAATGTATGGTACTAACGTACCTCCATTTTAGGATCCTGAAAATCCCACTGGTTGACAGAACCCGTCGGAACGGGACCGGTTTGGTGCTGTCATGTTACCGCTTTTTCAATGGGCTTTTACGAAAAATCTATTTTAGTCAGACTTTACATGTCCATCTTTTTAAGGGTGTTCTATATCCCACGAATCGTGAGTGATGAAAATAAACATAGTATATACACTATAACATACTATAACCCATATTTGTACATGGCTTCAGGCGTCTATGTACATCAAAAAAATTTACCCTCTGGTTTTTACTGTCACATAACCATGGAAAGATCCACCATTCTTTCTATTAATGGGTAAATCTATATTGATATCCCACTATTATCCATCACTATCCCACTATTATCCTATTCTTGATCCACAAACTGTTAGTCATTTTCAAGTTCGCCAACTGTGAATGTCATAACCAGAGGCGATTTTTCGGGACCTTCGGGGACGATCAACTCACCGATAGTCGTTGTGCCTCTGCTTCACAGATCTTACATCCGAAGGATAAGGTCACCGGTGGAGCACATGCAGCCACCGCCTGGGCTGGGCTGGGTGGGTTTTATGCGTGCGGCTGCGGCGCTTGCGCCGCCATAGGAAAAACCTGGGAAAAACTGGGAAAATGGTGATGGTTGACCTGATTTAAAGCAAGAAAAATGATGGATGTCATGAGATTCATGAGATTTATAGATCATTTTACAGCTGATTGAGTGATTGAGCTGATGATAGCTAAGTTGAATGTTCACTATGGTTGATCAATGGGGTGTGCTCTCACCTTGGTGAATGGTGGATCACCTAAGGGGCTTGGGCGAGGAATGCAGAAAACTAGCTCCATATGTCAAAAACGTTGAATGTTCACTGCTATTCTCAGCCAAAATTCCCTGTTTCTCCCATTAAAAAAAAATGGTGTTCCCTTCAATCAGCTGGATCTCATCATTGACCAACAGCCAAAAAAATCGTGTTTACCATCTGGTTATGACTAACATAGCCATGGAAAATCTTTGAAATAAATGGATGTTTATAGCTGGGAAATCATCTATTTCTATGGGCCATGGCTTCCATGGCTATGTTAGTCATAACCAGAGGGTAAGTTGTTGTTTTTTGGGCGGATCACCAACAACTGGTTGCTTTTCAGGACCCATCTTCGGCAACAACCGATCCTTGGGGTCGCAAATAGAATGGGGCAAGCGCAAGAACCAAGGTTCTGGTTCATTCAATGGATTGGTTTAAGGGAAAATCTTAACCGGAAACCAGAGTTATTTTCCCATGCAATATGGGGCTTTCCTGTAATTTGTCCCTTAAACCAATCCATTGATTCAAAGATTTGAAGCTTGAACCAGAAAATATGAAACCACCAATCATTCATGACCTGGAACTGTTTGGGCAGAGTGCCCAAAAAGGCATCCAGTAACGCGCCGACCCAAACCACCAGTCTGTTCACCATTTTTCAACCACATCTTTCCATAAAATACCTCCCTATAATTAAATTATATATATAATATATATATATTATAATATATATATAATCATCCCCCAAGTTATATTGGTTAACACTATTGGGTGGAGACATTTGTTTGACACATCCATCTATATATTGCTTTTGCTTAATCCCCGAAGCCAACGTTTAGCTCAGGATAGGCCGGGATAGGCCACCATCTGAGTCCCAACTGTCAGATCTGCATCAATACAAAGCTGACCTGACACCAGATGGGCATCCCCGTAACGGTGACCGTCGATGGGTACCAGATGGTTTCCCTGAAAACCTCGGATATCGCCAGAGAACAGATGGAAACAGCTTCGGAACCATGATGAACCTTTATATTTTTGAGGCCAAAATCCCAGAAATTTCAGACAAACCCCATTTGGATCTTTAGTGACTTCTATGTGCTTCTTCATTTTTGCTATTCCAGAAAAGCTTTGACCGTTCCACGGTTCCCAGTGTTTGAAACATCTCGATGCCTTGCGCTTCGCAGTGACGAAGACAGCTTTCACCTACAAAAACTACGCCGGGCTTCCGAAGTGACGAGGACTCCATCAACAGAGAAAAGGTGGTTTAAACCATGGATTACCCATTTTTCATGGTGGAAAATGGTGGTTTAACCATGTTGAAAACCATCAAACTATATGGGGATGTTTAGTGGTGGTATCTCATAAAAGTCTTTGGGGGTGCACCATCTTATAGGCCAAGGAACAGCGAAAACGCTACTTCAACTCATGCGTTTTCGCCCCATGCGTTTTCGGCAATTTGTGAGCCTGAAACTGTTGGGGCAACTGTTGGGGCAACTGTTGGGGCAACTGTTGGGGATTCATCCCAGTCAGAATGGGACCGAGCCTAATGGTGCTGCACTCATCGCGGCCTCGGGAAAAAAAGGGTGGACCATGATGGACCCAGCATCTGTATGCAGTAAATCTATGCAACCCAAAAAAATCATGGGAAAGGTTTAGTTTACTACCATTTCAGTAGCATTCCACAATGTGGGGCCCCCTAGATAGCTAAGTTGGTGAACATAGCTCCAATAACTATGGTTTATTGTACTTATAACTATGGTTAATGGGGTTTGTAAACCAACTTATAACTGGGGGGGCCCACATTCCATGTGTTTTGTGTGTTCTTCCTAACAGAATGTGAGGTTCCAAAACCTTCGGCGACTTAGAAACCCAGGCTTTGGCCATGGTGACATCTTCCTATGGCAAGGGATGCGTAGCCCGGTTCGAAAGGGGCTGCCGTAGTTTGACCACTTCAACCAGTCAATGGCCATTGAATATCCAAGCAAAATATGGCCAGAAATATGGTACGTTTACGTACCTCCATTTTAGGGATCCTGGAATGACCACTTCAACCAGTAATTTATAAAATTATCCATTGTCAATTGGGAAAATTATACATTATTAAAATTTATAATCAACCAGTAAATCTTCAACCACAAAACATCTATTGTCAATCAGCCAATGCCATCAGCAAAGTCTCACCATGGACCCCAACTCCCGGCGGGATCGCTCGATGGAAAGGTCGTTGCAGATCTTTGGTGTGATCCTTGAACTGCACAGGCGACCTTGGTACTGTTCGTTCGGAATCGTTCAGGATGTGAGTTGCGGCCGCTTCTCCAAGTGCTTGGAGTTCTGCTCAGCTACTGGTAAACCATACATAACGAACTGGAAAATCAACATATGTTTGATGGGTAAATCAACGATTTCGACTGGGCCATTTCCAAGTTCGCAAACTGTGAACGTTTCCCAAAGGGTACACCCAAAACATCAACCGATTCATGGCTGGTGAATTCTGTCGGTTCCCACTGGACTTAGCTGGTGACTTAAAGAGATGTCCTAAAAAAAAAACATAGTTTGAGAGGTTCACCCCCATGTATCCAATGAATCAGTGTCAAGTCTGTGTCAAGTTACTGGCTCTGTTTGGATCAGTACCCTCTGGTAAACATACAAAAGCTATTGAAGATGGCCATAGAAATAGTGGATTTTTCCATTAAAAATTGTGATTTTCCATAGCTATGTTAGGTTACCAGAGGGTAACTGCCAAAATATCCATTCTTTGGCTCAACTCCTCAT